CTGTCCATAGAGGCCTGTACCTCTCGTTCCTTTATGACTTTCCTAAAGTGGTTCACAACATTGTCAGTGTACAGGTTGCCAACACGGCTTGCAGTAGCTGTGTCAGGGTGATTATCATCCATAAAGCTTTGCACTTTAAGCCACATTGCACAGATTTCCTTAATCTTAGAAGTAGGCAACTTCTTCAATTTCTCTCTCCCCTCCTCTGAAGCAGTTTCCTCAGGTCTGCCCTCTTGCTGTTCAAGATGATCTAGCAGCTCATCAGTGGTTAGTTCTTCACTGTCCTCCACCACCAACTCTTCCACATCCTCCCCACTAACCTCCAACCCCAAGGACTTCCCCAATGCCACAATGGATTCCTCAACTGGCATAGGATTCTCAGGGTTAGCCTCAAACCCTTCAAAATCCCTTTTGTATACACATTCTGGCCACAGTTTTTTCCAAGCAGAGTTCAATATCCTCTTAGTCACTTCCTCCCAAGCCTTACCTATAATGTTTACACAATTGAGGATGGTAAAATGATCTTTCCAAAACTCTCTTAGAGTCAGTTGAGTTTCTGAGGTCACTACAAAGTACCTTTCAAACATAGCTTTTGTGTACAGTTTCTTGAAGTTGGAAATAACCTGCTGGTCCATGGGCTGCAGGAGAGGAGTGGTATTAGGAGGCAAAAACTTCACCTTAATGAAGCTCATGTCCCTAGAAAGTCGCTCTGCCACATCTGTAGGATGACCAGGGGCATTGTCTAATACCAGGAGGCACTTAAGGTCTAATTTCTTTTCAATTAGGTAATTTTTCACATCGGGGGCAAGTGCATGGTGTAACCAGTCATAGAAAAAGTCCCTAGTGACCCATGCCTTACTGTTTGCCCTCCACAGCACACACAAATTAGCCTTAAGGACATTGTTTTTCCTGAACGCTCTGGGGGTTTCAGAGTGATACACCAATAAAGGCTTCACTTTGCAATCACCACTAGCATTGGCACACATCAACAAAGTAAGCCTGTCTTTCATAGGCTTATGTCCTGGAAGTGCCTTTTCCTCCTGAGTAATATACGTCCTGCTTGGCATTTTCTTCCAAAACAGGCCTGTTTCATCACAATTAAACACTTGTTCAGGTTTCAGTCCTTCACTGTCTATGTACTCCTTGAAGTCCTGCACATATTTTTCAGCCGCTTTGTGGTCCGAACTGGCAGCCTCACCATGCCTTATCACACTATGAATGCCACTACGCTTCTTAAATCTCTCAAACCAACCTTTGCTGGCCTTAAATTCACTCACATCACTAGTTGCTGGCATTTTTTTAATTAAATCATCATGCAACTTCCTAGCCTTTTCACATATGATCGCTTGAGAGATGCTGTCTCCTGCTATCTGTTTCTCGTTTATCCACACCAATAAAAGTCTCTCAACATCTTCTATCACTTGTGTTCTCAGTTTCGAAAACATAGTTGCACCTTTGGCAAGAGCAGCTTCCTTGATTGCCGTTTTCTTGCCCACAATAGTAGCGATGGTTGATTGGGGTTTATTATACAACCTGACCAGCTCAGAGATACGCACTCCACTTTCATATTTATCAATGATCTCTTTCTTCATCTCCAGAGTAATTCTCACCCTTTTTGCTGTAGGGTTGGCACTAGAAGCTTTCTTGGGGCCCATGGTGACTTATTTTGCAGGTGCAATCACTAAAAAGGCTGTGATAATATGAAATGTTCCAGTTGTATGTTTGGAAGCGACCGCAGTGGCTGGCTGGCTTGTAAACACTGGCACCAAAGGGACAAGTGAGGCACGTTCAGGCCAAAGTGGACGCGTATGGTACGGAACGAAAAGCGCTGGTCGGGTTTTTAAGCGCTAGTCGAGGCACAATTTTTGCGTTTAAATGAATCGCTAGTCAGATTTATCGTTAATCGATGCCATCGCTGGTTGAGGGTCCATTGTACTTCCAGCAAGCATGCGTGAGCATGTCAGATAGGAGCAAATAGAAAGAAATGATTTTTAGGACTTGACATGCTGTTGGAGTGTGAGCAAGGTAACATTTATACAGGGATTCAGGGAAACCAGCAGGCCAGACTTGAGCCCTGGAGATGGGAAGTACAGTGCCTACACTCTGAAGGAGGGGTGTTAATGTTGCAGTTTTATAACTTTAGTGTAAAGCACCCCTCTGGCAAGACAGTGATGGAGTGAATGATTATGGAACACGATGTAGCAATTAATGAAGTGAACATGAAGCTTACACTTCCATTTCACAACCCACACCCATTAATAACTCACTAGGGCTAAACATAAGAGTGAATTCTGATAAAATGTGGTCCTTTAAGCTAGCCAGAATTAATGGGAAAAAGGGTAGATTATATAACACCTACCTTATGTCCCATATGCTTGACAAGGAAGTGGGCAATGCCATACTCTGGCAGAGCTTGCCATGCACGAATGTATTGCAATTTTGCATCTGTTAGCGGTAAATCCTTTACATTAGCATGAGCTTCCAGGATGCGTTGCACAGCCTGAAAGAAGACATACACTACATAAAAAAATATGCATGAAATGAACTGAATATAATAGTGAAAAAATCAAAATAAATATGGACTACAATAAGATGATCTTTTTCTCAAAACATTTTAGAAAGTTAAATGATGATAGTCTAACACACAGTGGCTCAGAGTAGTTCAACACACCACTCGTGAAAAGTAACAACAACAACAACAACAACTCTGAAGCAATTGAGTAAAAATGAAAACTGTGAATGACGTTTACCAATGCAAGTCAGATCAAAAGTTGTAAATAATATTACACTACCTATTAAGAGACTACATTTCAGCATAAGATATATACAGTACAAAGTGTTGACTGAAATGCTGACTGGCCAACTAGACAAGATATAATGATTAAATTACAAGCCGAGCCATAAGAGCCTACGTTTCAAAAATTAAAGCAAGTATTAGCAGTTTACAAAATACTGTATCATAATGAATCAAGTTCACAAGCTATCTTTTTCCTTCAGGCTTTATTTATTACCAAACTGACAAAAGTAAAAGCATAAAAGTCATGCTGGAACTTTTATACATGAAAAAATTACTTAGTGTAGGATCCTAAAATCACTAGAATTAATAATGCCTCTTGGCATATTTTTTATTTCAATAGTACAGTAGGGCCCTACTTTAAAGTGTTTCGCCTTACAGCATTCAACTAATATGGACATTTCAAATTATGACCAAAACTCGCAATACAGCTCACCCCACCCAGTTTATTTACATTTTCCATGAGCAGCATGTCTCTCCATTATGTCTGGAAACTTTCCAAAATTTTAAAGCTATTTTATGTTTTATATATAGTGGTACCTCGGGATACGAACAGCTCAAAACTCGAACAATTATGTAAGTGTATTTATGTAAGTGCTTTTGTAAGTGTATTTTTGGGGGTCTGAAACGTATTAATCTAATTTATATTATTCCTTATGGGAACAAATTCGTTCGGTATTGCCACTCGAACAGCCTTCTGAAACGAATTAAGTTCATATCCCAAGGTACCACTGTACTCTGATAATTATACTTACGTGTACCTGTACCTAAACAAACTTACATACTGTGCTGGCATGCAGGTACACATTAAAATCACTAAAAGTTTCTTATTAGTCCTGAAGATGCCATATTAACCCTTTGACTGTTTCCGACGTATAAATACATCTTACGAGCCAATGTTTCTGACGTATTTATACGCATAAATTCTAGCAGCTTCAAATCAAGCAGGAGAAAGCTGGTAGGCCCACATGCGAGAGAATGGGTCTCCATGGTCAGTGTGCACCATATAAAAAAAATCGGGGAGCCAGTGGTGCATTGTGGGAATGCCATTTCAGTTGTCCTTTTTCAGCATGTCTAGCGGTAAGAAATATGTGATTCCCCAGCAAATCTGGGACTCTTCTCTTCCCAAGTGATGCTCTAACACAGATGGAAGTGTCAGTGAAGGTCAATTTCATGATTTGGAGGAGTTTGAGACCAAAAGCAATGGAGGAGGAGGAGGGGAGGAAGAGGAGGAGGAGGAGGAGGAGGAGGAGGAGGAGGAGGAGGAGGAAGAAGAAGATGTAATAATATTGTTCCCTTGAAGCAAGAAAAAAAAAATTCCACCCCATGACAGTGACAAGATAAGGGGAGATAACATCTGATAAGAACTGACTTTGATGAGCGTAAAGGAGGGTAATATTACATGACCATCGCCCTCCCTTTGTTTTTGCTGGTACACAAACATTTCTGTCTGTCTATTTGTCTGTCTGTCAAGCTCCCTGTCTGTCCATCTAGCTCTCTGTCTCAGAGAGAGCCACAAGACTGTGTCATCACGTTTACTCACATCTTCAAGCAGAGTATAGCACTTTGTCTGGATTTCTTGGGTTATCCTAGGTAATTTACACTATGTATACTTGTATTTATGTGTACCTGTGAGACAGAGATAGGCAGACAGATAGAAAGAGAGACAGATTGAAAGATATAGAATGAGGGAGAAAGATAATTAGATAGAATGGAGGAGGGGAAGCTGCATCCGACCCCACTGTTTTGACAGGAGGTAGGGGGAGTGACTAATGAGACAATATGTCACTTTGACAGCTGCCGACTTCTGACTCAAAACAATTATAAGCCACACACTCCCACACAAGACAAGGAGGAGGAGAAGGAGGAGGAGAAGGAGGAGAAGGAGGAGGAGGAGAAGGAGGAGGAGAAGGAGGAGGAGAAGGAGGAGGAGAAGGAGGAGGAGGAGGAGGAGGAGGAGGAGGAGGAGGAGGAGAAGGAGAGGAGAAGGAGGAAGGAGGAGGAGAAGGAGGAGGAGAGGAGGAGGAGAAGGAGGAGGAGGAAGGAGAAGGAGGAGAAGGAGAGGAGGAGAAGGAGGAGAGGAGGGAGAAGGAGAGGAGAAGGAGGAGAGGAGAAGGAGGAGAGGAGAAGGAGGAGGAGAAGGAGGAGGAGGATGATGATTGTTTGTTTGTTTTTGTAAACAAGTTTTGTAAACAATATATTGATAATTATGTTTGTGTGCTTATTGTGTTGTATACAACGAGTGTATATATACATTGCACCTTACTTTGGTCTCATAGGCCACATAAGTTATGTGAAAAAATAAAATAGTGAAAAAAACAAAAAACCTTCAATTACAAGTAAACTAAAGTTTACCGGGTGAGCGGCAGTCGCCGCTGTTGCCATACTCGGCTCATTTTCTGCAAACTTCATGGCTCTATATCTCGGTAAGTACCGATGGCAAAAATTTTTTTTTTGGATTAAAACACTCAGAAAAATAATCTTAACATTTTCATAAGAAAAAATAATTTTTTTTTTTTTTGAATATTTGGCGACATAGAATGACAGTTTCAGAGAGGGGCCTGAAACAGTCAAAGGGTTAATAATGATAATAATAATACACAATAATAATCATTGAGGCACATTAAATGTCGTATATGTATTACGTTAATATGAACAGTTTAATCCATCTGATATTTTTTTCAAAATTATAAACATGATCAATACAACCCATAGTAGAATAAATTAACATAAATATGAGATGTTACGTGTAAATGAACGTGTATCAACCATAGCCAGATGCATTCGTCTGTTTGTTTACATCCTCCACATCTTTCTCCTCTCTCATTTACTAGTTCTCTCTCTCTCATTAATTTGCTCTACCTCGTTTACTCACCTACAGTAAGATTACAAATGTTTTAAGATAAGTAATGAGTACACTGTATGTGTACTCATTAGCGCTCTAAGGCGCTTTAAATGTTGTAGTATATTATTGTGGGAGGGGTGGCCTGGCCTGGCTGGCTACCATACCTCCCGCATCTGACTTCCTACAAATAAATACTACTCACCTCTCACCCTACATTTAGACTACAAATATTTTAAGGTAATTAATGAATGTACAGTGGATCCCCGAGTTTCGGCCGTAATCCATTCCAGGAGCTAGGCCTCAAGTTAAAGCAATATTTCCGATAAGAAATATGTTAATCCAATTAATCCGTTCCACCCAAAAATATTGAAAACAAATTTTTTTTAAGAATAAATACTATAGTTTTACATACAGAAAACAATGAGAAATAAATATTTTAATGGATAAATAAACATTTAAATCAGTTTCACCTTTATTGAAGACTCTTGTTGGCATGTGAGAGAGGCAGGAGAGTTTGTTTGGAGGCAAGACAAGATAGTCCTTCAATATGACACTAATATCAACTCTACGGCTTATTTATCTAGCACAATTCATCTAATATGACATAATAAACAATATTAATAACATATAAACATGATATATACTCTAGAATGAATAAAATACAGTGGACCCCCGGTTCCCGATGTTACCGGTATCCGATAAATTCGGTTGCCGATGCATTTGATCAAAAAAATTTTGCCTCGCTTCCCAATACAAAACCCGGTATGCGATACGATTCGTACGAGACGTGTCCACTTGTGGCCTGAACTCCCCCGTGCGTACCAGTGTTTACAAGCCAGCCAGTGTGCGCGCATCTAAGGATACATTCGGTACATTCCATATTATCCATATTATCACTGATTTTGGTGCTTGTTTCTGCAAAATAAGTCACCATGGGCCCCAAGAAAGCTCCTAGTGCCAACCCTTCGAGACCAAGGGTGCTAATGACTGTTGAAATGAAGAAAGAGATAATTGCAAAGTACGAAAGTGGAGTGTGTGTGTCGGAACTGGTCAGGATGTATAGTAAACCCCAATCAACCATCTCTACTATAGTGAGCAGGAAAACGGCAATCAAGGAAGCTGTTCTTACAAAAGGTGCAACTGTGATTACGAAACAGCGATCGCAAGTGTTAGAAAATGTTGAGAGACTGTTATTGGTGTGGATAAATGAAAAACAGATAGCAGGAGATAGCATCTCTCAAGCGATCATTTGTAAAAAGGGTGATGAAAATCACCTTCACACAGCTATTGCAAGCCATGCTGGTGACTATTACACTGACAATGTTATGAAACACTTTAGGAAAGTCATAAAGGAATGAGAGGTACAGGCCTCTATGGACAGATATGTTGTGCGACAGAAGTCCAGTGACTCTCAAGCTGGTCCTAGTGGCATTAAAAGAAGAAGGGAAGTAACCCCAGAAAAGGACTTACTACCTCAAGTCCTAATGGAAGGGGATTCCCCTTCTAAACACTAAGACCATCCACACTCTCCCCTCCTCCCATCCCATCAATCATCACCAGATCTTCAATAAAGGTAAGTGTCATGTAACTGTGCATGTCTTCTTCAGTTTGGGTGTATTAAAATTAATATTTCATGTGGTAAAAATTTTTTTTTTTCATGCTTTTGTGTGTCTTGCACGGATTAATTTGATTTCCATTATTTCTTATGGGGAAAATTGATTCGCTTTCCGATAATTTTGGTTTACGATGAGCTCTCAGGAACGGATTAATATCGGGAACCGGGGGCCCACTGTATGTCATATGTCTCTCTCCCTAACCGATGAGTGTTGCTGTCTTGTTTGTTGTTGGGTGCATAAGGGCC